ATATATATATATGTATATATATATATATATATATATATATATATATAGTTATGTTTTTCTTTTTAAGCTTATTTAACATGTGATATAAAAATTTTAGATATAAAATATTTTATTTATAAAATTAAGTTTTATCTAAAAGTAAAAAGTATTATAAGATGATACGCCGCGATTATGCTTGAAAGCGAGTTTAAAATAAGTTTATATAAATGGAACTGATTATGTGGAACTGATTTAATCGTTTTTCAATTGAAATGCTCACATATGTAATAGTACATATAGCTAAAAAATTGAAGGAACTAAATATATATGTGTGCATTTATAGAAAAAAAAAAAAGATATTTGTTTCATTTGGTTATTTATAATTTAGTTCATTGATTAAATTTAAATAAGATTAATCTTAATAACAATACTATTTTGAATCTTAACTATAGGACAAGTGAAAAATAAGATTACATATAAGATAAAAAAATAATAAATAGTATTTATATAAACTTATTTCATTGTTTTTCAACTGAAATGCTGAATTTATTTTTGAAATATTTGATAGATATTGAATTGCACTATTTATATTAAGATATATGTTTGTATATATGTATATACATCTATTTATATTTAATTATATTGTATAATACAACATACACAATTTTTTTGTCTATATTTTTAAATATCTATTAAATTATAAAAGTCAGGTACTCTATTTGCAATATTCACTTTATAATTTGTCCTTTATTACTATTTATAAATTTTTGATCAATAGTATGTAAAAATGCTATTGGATCAAAATGAACTTGACCTAAATTATAATATTTTTCCTCATATTCATACCATTTTTGTAAATCAAAGTTTTTAAAGAATATTCTTATTTCTCTCTCAGCAGATTTCACAGAATCTAGAAGAATAATTTTTATTTATATAATATATAGTTAATATTAAGCAAAATTTTTGTAAAATGAATGAATTATACCAGAACCATGTGTGGCATTTCTTGTATCTGATAAACCAAACATTCCTCGAATTGTATTAGGGGCAATGTATTGTGCCTCGTATACTTTTGTAGGACCCATTAAATTTCTCCATTTAACAATAGCATTATGATCTGCTAAAATATGAATATCTGATGGACCACTACACATAAATGTTAAAAGACGATTGTAAAAAAATTTTTCTTTATGTTCTTCATAAAATAATTCCGCCTCTTTCTGTGTAATTATTGTCCTGCGTGATCTGACAATTTTTAAATTATTGTCAATTATTAAATCTCGAATTTTCTGAAAATTACAATATTACTTAAATATTACCGTATTTTTATTCAAAGGAAAGAAAACCAACAGTTCTGTCAACCCCATTTTTTTTTTTTTTTGCTGCCATTTAAAGTTATTATGTAAGTAATTTAAGTACTACTTATGTAAGTATGTAGTACTTATTTATATCGCATAAAATTGCGTAAAATTTAGGTTATATCCTCTTACCTGAAGCACAAAAGGAGATTTAACAATATGTGGTTTAATTATTGCCAAAGTTAACTGAAGATACTTTTGTGATTGCATTTTAACATATTTTAATTACCTACCATTTTTGTAAAAATTGAAAATTCTTATAGTACAGTGAAAATAACTTTAAACTTTTCGTTTAAAAACATCGTGTAAGGTTGGTTTGCCATATAAGAAACGAAGTTCAAAATTTCAAATAGAAAATTGTTTATGCTTGTCATATGAATTGATTGTACAAAAGATAGATTGTACACACATATATCCATACATATAAACTTAATTTTACTATGATATAATATATATGATAATTTACAAACGAAATTTTAAAAATGATATTAGTTTTATTAAGATTTTTAAAAATTATTGAACTTATATTATATATATATATATATTCATAACATTATAATATGATAAGTTATAATATTATCTTAAGATTTTAGTATTAACATTTTTAATCATTAAAAGATAAAAAAAAATTGATCAGATATCGAAGCCGTCTTTTTAAGCACATAAATATATATATTTCTATATATTTCTTATAAAGTAAAGATAATATAGACAAAAATAACAAATAAAAAGATAGAGATAGATGTAAAAATTTGAAAATCAATGCTATCTCTAGAAATACCGTAGATTAAACGTACATAAGAAGGATAAATAATATAAAAAATACAGATAAGATAAGAATTGATTATCAGTGCCATCTTCTAAACACTGTTTCAAAAGTAAAATAGAATAAGAATTATCGTCATCTTTCGAATAATTTGAAGTGATGTTTTTGATATTCAAGAGATGGCGTTACAATCAATTCTTATTCTTTTTCTATTCTAATTAGCAGTGGGATTTAAAGTTTAAATTTTAAACAAATGAAAGTTTGAATTGGCAATAAAAGAAGAAAAAAATATTAAGATATTTTATCAAAAAAAGATGTTATCAAAGATTTTTTCAAATCCATTCTTTCGTAATGTTTGTAATCTTATTAAATATTCCTAAATCATATATATTTTATATTTCTGTTAATGAATCAAAACTTAGAATATTTATAAAATTTCAAGCAAGATGGCGTTGATACTCTAAAATTTTTAATTTTTTAATCTATTTTTTAATTTATAATCAAAACGGTACATTTCGCAGGATTCATAGAGAAAATAACTTAATTCGAAAAATAGACGGATGTCTGTATATTTATTAGAAATTATACAAATTGAAGTTTACTTCTATTTAGTACATACTTGTATTTAATTACAAATGAAGTAAGAAAAAATGCCCGCCAAAATGGAAAAATATATATATATGTTAATAAAATAGAGCCGGTGGAGAGAAAGATGAAAAAATGATCACTTCAATAGCAGATCAATTACATACTTATTTATATTGTTAAAATTATATAGCGATGAATGAATGAATTGAATTAATAGATTGATGGTAAAAAGATCCGAATTATGTATGGATTTTTACTCTTTTAAACTTTTAAATTTTACGAGTTGCAAATTAAGATATAAATTATAAGAAATTATTTCAGAGATTTATATATTTATTGATTTTCTTTCATTTTCAATTAATATCAAAAATCTTATTTTCTTTTTTTTTATTAATTTTTATTAATTTTTAATTTTATTATATAATTTTAGAAACTTTTTAATTTTGATCGATCGAAAATATTTTAATTTATTTTATGTTAAACTGATTCATTTGTGTTGATTCGTGAAGTTTATAAGTATAAGAGTAAGCATTGTTGTGAATATAACTTTGACTCGAAAGTAATATTTTACATTGTCCAAAGTAAAATATTATATATCATTATTTCATTCTTATTAGTCTATCCTTATGGCATCACCAGCACCAAAATCGCCAGAGCAATCTGAAAGAAATAGAAAATATGATAGACAATTGAGGTATGTAGATATAATGTCTAACCTATCACGGAATGATAAATTTAATTGAAGTTAATTAAATAAGTTGGAATTTTAAATTGTTTTATATCAGAGTTAAGTTTATACGAAATAAGTAAGAAAATTTTGTTTTTATAAATTCCTTTTTATAATTTAACCAAATTATATATATATAAGAAAAATAATATATATAATGTCAATAAAATATAGGTTATGGGGTGATCATGGTCAAGCTGCATTAGAAGGAGCACATATTTGTGTAATAAATGCTACAGGCCTTGGTACAGAAATTTTGAAATCTGTAGTCTTACCAGGTATTGGAGCATTTACAATTGTAGATGGCAAGAAAATTACTAATGAAGATATCGGTGCAAAGTATGTATATATTAATTATATTAATTACACTGATCTTGTTTTAATAACATATATTGAAAATATTTTTATTTCATTTATCATATGTCTTAATATTATATCTTAACAGTTTTTTTCTAGAAGCAGATAGTGTAGGAAAATCGAGGGCACAAGTAGCAACGCAAATGCTTTTAGAGCTGAATTCAGATGTTAGAGGTGATTATATAGACGAGGAACCTGAACAAATTTTATGTAATAGTCCAGATTTTTTTAACAATTTTACTGTTGTCGTAGCCACTTCCTTATCAGAGAAGTAAGAATCATTGCAACCAATAATAATGTGGCAAAAATTTTCAATATTATTCTAAATTGCGCATTTCAAAAGGAAAAATTTTCAGATCTTTAATTCTTCTGTCGCAAAGACTTTGGGAATTAAATATACCTTTAATAGTATGTAGAAGTATAGGATTTATCGCATATATGAGAATTCAAGTAAAAGAACATACAGTTATAGAAACACATCCAGATAATGAAATTCCAGATTTACGTTTAGACAAGCCATTTGAGATATTAAAAAAACATTTTGATTCCATAAACTTAGATGAACTGAGTTTTAAAAATCATTCTCATATACCATACTTAGTTATATTATATAAATTTCTAGAAAAATGGACTTTACATAAAAAGGATTTACCTAAAACTTATAAAGAAAAACATCAATTAAAAGAAATGATAAAAGAGGCAATGAGAAGAGATGAGAATGACACTGCGAATAGCGAAGAAAATTTTGAAGAAGCTATTAAAGCTGTTAACACATGTGTAGGACATACTGAGATTCCAGATAATGTGATGAATATTCTTAATGATGATCAATGTATTAATCTAACAGCTAAGGTAGAAGAAAGAAAGTGTCGATTAAATTAGTCGATAATATAACTTTAAACTGATTTAAAATATTTTCAGAGCAGTTCATTCTGGATTATAGCAAAAGCGGTAAGGGATTTTGTTGAAAATGAAGGAGCTGGATTATTACCATTAAAAGGTACTTTGCCAGATATGACTGCAGATACAGAGAAATATATAACACTTCAGCAAATGTGAGATTTTTTTTGTTACAAAAAGTTTATTAAAAAGATATTTTTTTTAATTCTATATAATATATATATATATATATATTTTTTAACATATTTGTCCATTTTAGTTATTACAAACAAGCGATAGCTGATGCAGAATCAGTATGGCGACGTACATTACAATTATTACGACAATTGGGAAAATCATCTGATTCTATTTCCGAAAGAGATGTTAAATTGTTTTGCAGGCATGCTTCGAATATACACGTAGAAAAAGGAACGTGTATCGCGGATGAATATGATTCTAAAACTTTTGATACAAGCGATATAGGTAAAATGTCTATAGATAAAGTATTATTAAATTGCTATCGAAAACTTTTTTTTTATTATATTGTAGTATAAAAGAATTTTATATATATATAAAAAAAGATAGATTGATAAATAAAAGAGTATTATATACAGAATATTATATATCATAAGAATATATACATACATATATATATATATATATATACATATTATTTTTTCCAGTGCAAAGTTTAGAAAATCCAGAAAGTATGATGATTTATTACGTTGTTCTTAGGGGGGTTGAAAAATTTCAAGCAGAATATAACTCGTATCCTGGAGAATTTGATGATCAAGTAGAACCTGACATTGTTAAGCTTAAAGTATGTTTTTACATAAAATAATGATATCAGAAGGGGTGGAAGAGACGATATAACGAAAATAAAAATTATCATATAATTAATATAATTAATTAACTCTTACTCTTAGGCATGCATAACAAAATTATTAAACGAATGGGGATGTGGACCATTGGTAAAAGATGATTATGTCCATGAATTTTGTCGATTTGGTGGAGCAGAATTGCATTCGGTATCAGCATTTTTAGGTGGTCTTGCAGCTCAGGAAGTTATAAAATTTGTCACAAATCAATATAAACCAGTTCATAATACCTTTATATATGATGCGGTAACATCGAATTCTGGAATATTTTTCTTTTAATATAATAAATGATAAATTAAAATTACATTGCTGTATAGAATAAAATATATATACAATTTTATAGTTTACACATCAACTTTTTCTTTAATATGTTCTTCACAAATGTTCATTTTATCATGCAATTAGAAAATTAGAAAATTTATTTAAAATATATTAAAACTCAAGTTGAACGAGTATAATATCAACACTTTAATATATTAATTATTTGATACACAAATTATTTCAATCTTATTTATAATAATAAACTACTATATCGTTAACCATTATTTATAACAAATTTAATACTTTTAATTAATAGTAAATATGCCTAAAACATAAAAGCAAATTAATTAATATATCATGTTTTGTAACCAATATTGTACTTAAATATTTTACATGTATATTAGTCTTAATATAATTTGATAAAATGATGAATTGTGCTTTGATTTTTAATCCTTTATTTTGTACAATATTAGTATTTTATACTATATTGTTACACATACACATGCACACACACGCACGCACGCACGCACGCACGCACGCACGCACACACACACACACACACACACACACACACACACACACAACAAAATCTATATATTGAATTAATTAATTAATTATTAGATTTAAATAATTAATAATATTATAATATATAAAAATCTAATATTCTACTTTTGCACAAGCCACTTCAGTATCCAATATAATATATATCGGTAATATATATTGGTTATTTCATTATATTTGACTCGACTTTTGTTATTTAAATCTTCATTTCTTTTTAAATTTTTTTCTAAAGATCTTAGTATAGAAGTAGTTGGGCAAAAGTTTTAATAAAAAAAAAAAAAAAAAAGATTTTAGTAAATATAATATAATATAAATATAATAACAATATAATGTAAATTTTGTACTTATATGTATATATATATATATATACACACACGTACATTTAATATCAATAAATATATATAAATATAAACTAGAATTTGTTGATGATATAAAATATTCAGAAATAATTAAAAAAATAATGCAAATTTTTAACTTAGCTTAAGATAAAAATAGATAAAAGAGCTTAAAGATATTTAGTGTTCAAAGATGTTAAGAATTATAAAAAATTATAAAATTTATTAAGAATAGATAATAAATTATTAAAAGAAGAAAAATACAACATTGATATCAATAGAATAATTATCATTTCATTCGTTACCTTTATTGTTTATTAAAATTTGAGCCGTATAGTTTTTTCATCATTTTCAATCCTTATTTTAGAAAAAAATAAAATAAAATAAAATAAAATAGATCGAAATAGCAAGATGAACAGAGATAAGTAGAGTAAATATTTTTCAATTATTAATTGAAAATTATTATTTGATAAATATATCATCTATTTTAATATTTCTGAGCATCTGAAATATTAGCTGAAAAAAAATTTATATGATTTCAATATGAAATTGCATTTTTCATATTGAAACGAAAAAGATTTGTTACACGAAGAAACAAAAAGAGAGAGTATCTATGTC